TTAAATAATAAGCTGCAAGGTCAGCTTTTTTATCCACGCAGATGTACTAGTGGTCTTTGATACGTTACCAAAACGTTCCGTGACTTTTAGAAAGCCTGTGGCTCAGTGTGCCCTAAGCTCACAGCAAACAGTATATTCCCCTACTTAAGCAGATGGAGATATCAAGACGCATTATAATATATAACTTTTATAGTCCGTACCATCTGTATCACTGACTTTTTTAGTTGAGCGGCCATCTCAACTTTATTCGTGCTCAAATGCTAGGTCCATTTGGATTCCTGGTACGAGCAAAGCAAGCTGTAGCCGCCATCCCGAATCCCAAGCTACCCACTAGTCGGGTGAGCAAGTATGGGTGGGGGGGTCGTGTAGCATGTTCAGCGCCTCCTTAATGTCACCGCATAATTAATCTTGGGGAATTTTAATTAACTTTTGACTTTTTCCCTGAGCCAAGTTAAAGTCGATCGTTGGCTTTATGCTTAGCACCTCTGTGCATACATATATAACATCTAACCATATCAGGGAGTCCAGTCACCTGCTGTTAAATATCTGGCCCTCGGAACCCTTTGTCGATAGTGGAGGGGCTGACAGTAAATAGGGCCCCACTCCACCATGTCAGTATCAACCACCTCGCTAAAGAGATTTCCACCTACGGACATGGACCATATAAGGTTGTCGCATTATTTGGATTTTTTATTAGCTGATCCAAGTATTAAGAGTACAGCTGAATTATGAACAGATGGTGCCTTCGCGCATTCGTGTTTTCATGGTGTGAACCGTTATAGTATGCACTATTTTCATTGAAATTAACTTTATTATCTTCCTTCGCAATTCACTAGCGCAAAAATCTTACAGTTCCACTGATATGACTCCCAAAGTTGTGGATTTGACTTCAGATATTTCTGTAAAGAAACCGGCAGCTGTTTTGTTTTCATCCCTCAAGACATTTGATGGGTCAAATGAATGTGTGAGAGATAACAGTCTGGCATTGATGCATGCAGTGATATAAAAGAACCCCCACTGTTTTGCGTTAGTGGTGGTGGCACAGCAAATGCAGTAAACCCCAACAGAGGTCTAGGAATCAAAAGCAGCTTACAGTTGAGTGCATTTGCAAATTATAAGCAGCAAATTAGGCAACGCCTACCCAGTTCGGTTTTGCCTGAGGAGACACGGAAGTAATTTTGCGGTCATCTCTAATCGTCGTGAACATAAACACAAGTTATCTAAGCTTTCGAACACACGCGACGAAAAGGTTAAGGTGACTCTTTAAATCATCCAAAGTTTGGCTCATAGGTATAAGCTTTACACTTTCGTGATTGCGGGTACTATAGATATGGGGTGTCCGAGAGTGGATGCGTCCTTGGAAAGTGAGTGTATCCGTCGTATTCATAAGCTGTTTAGGTTGTTCAAAGAAATCATCTGCAAATACTACCAAGTGAAGACTTACGTTGTGGACATATTGGTGATCCAAATCCAAAAATACCGTCTGGTATGATCATAGTTTTACAGCTAGAATGGAGCATGACGGGGTGTTGTGTGGAAGTGCATTTGCACAAAAAGAGAACGATGTCATAAACAGTTGCGAAAATCCGATGGTAAAGCAATAACAGGTTTCTTTTCCAACTTGTTGGGAACAGTAGGCATGAGGTCCGACTAGTTCAAAAACAGTCAGGTGGCACGAACCAAAACTGAAAACCATTGCTGGTCATGGGTGACCTTGGGTGGTTAGGTAAATGGCCGGAGTCACAACAAGCAATAGTGGAGATGGAGTTGGAAAAATTCAGATTGGTAGCGCAAGGCAAGTTTTGTTTCAAAAATGTGTTTCAATCTAAAAGTAAGCAGACTCACTGATTGTACTGTTGCAGGGAAGTCAGGTATGGGAATAGGTTAGATGGGGGCAAGTCGTCAATAAATAGGGTGAGCCGAGCTCCGTATACGGATTTTAACTTGTGCAGGAGGCAAGCCGAAATTGTAGCAGAAAAGCCAGGCTAGAAAATCTGACCGGAATTTCACTGAGTACGGAATAGCTCATCCCAATGACGGGACCTGATGGAAACTGCTCGAAGTTGTGGCTACAGGCTTGAGTGGGCGAAGGGTTGCGGTTGAGATTCTGGCTAAAATGTTTGCAGGAGTGCCATCTCACTGGCCATGGTAGTGCCATACCATCGTCGCACTAACATGCTCCGGTTTATGGGCAGCCCCGTACCGGTTGTCAATGGTCGGTGAATGGACGCACTTTCGTGGCAGCTGGTTCTGGGTGAGACAGAGATTGACATAAGGGGTCATGCAGATGTAGGCTCACGGATAATTTCCTTTTTTGGAGGACCGTGTGAGTGTAGGCCGGACACCAGCCAGTCCGAATGAATAACAGCTCTAAGGGGCGTTTGGGTAACTGGAGTCGAGGTTGTAAGCTTGGGCAGAGGGGCGACGAGAAAGAAATAAGCCGTTGGACTGTTTGAGAACAGACGGTATTTTGTCTCACCAAAGCGTCATGACCTAAGGTCCTTGTTGTGCAGAAAGAGGGGTTAATTTGAGCAGCGACAAGTAAAGAGCGGATAGGCAACAGCTTCCAGGATAATGGATAAAAATCGTAGCTTAACTGTGGCCTACTGCGTCAACCTTACATGAAAGTAAGATTAAGGGGCACTGCTGCCGTGTCAGTGCTGTCAACTCCAGAAAACGAATTGTGCATGGCAAGAAACAGCCATTAAGTGCTAGCTGTGACTGCTTGTAATCAGGAAATCATAAGTTATCAGCATTTTGTGCATATGATCGCCCTAGATGACAAGGGGGAAGAACGTGTGTGCTATGTTTAGATGATGGAGTGCACTANTAGGGGTGTTGTAACCCTAGTAAGACGAAGGTGGCAATACCTTGTACGTCGACGTTAGCCGTGAGCCTCACAGGTAATCTCAGGTGACCCCATGCATGAACGTTTTTTTAAACATTTTTTAATTTGTTTAGAACAAACGGGAGGGCAGCTGTCATCTGCTTGTATTACTTGGTATTGTGGGACAATTGACAACCGAGACAAGGTCAATGCAGCTACAGACAAACAGCAGCGCTACACTTTTTTGGTTTTCCTAAATTAAAGACCAGGCTCAGAACCACTGGCGATACACTGGCGATACTTGAGGGGTGCCGAGTATACGAACGCACCATGGTGTAACGCAACAGGGCGACCTTCCCTGCAGGGCGTATCGGTCCACTACATCGATGTTTTCATCCCTCGTGCATGCCACCAGATCTAGAAGTTGGAAAAACATCCAAGCAGTTACAAGTGCGGTTTGTGCATTATTAAATAACTCCAGCTACTAGATATTTTATCCAGTCGGAGAGAAAGCCAGACCAGTAAAACAGCTCTGTCATTTCGAACAAGCAAACAGCAAACAGCCACTGGAAGACGCAAGTCGCTGAAGCAAATAGAACATCAACTACCTTTTGGGCAATGGGAGTGGAATGGAGATATTCGGAGCCTGTGTACTATGGCTAAACGCAGACGAAGCATCGGTGTGAACCACTCTGTCAAGTAGAGGCGCACCAGTGTTATGTGTATGTGTGAGTGATTAGGCTGTGTGGCCAAACAAGTAGTGTTCTCAGTACGGAGCAGTATGCTTGCCAGCGCGAGGATTCGCATAAATAAATATCTAACGGTGCTCTAAACTGGGTTCTAGAAGGAGCGTGGACAACCGTCGAAGGAAGTTCATTCCACGCAGCTACTACCCGAAAGGAGGAGAAAATTTGCCTGATGAATGTGTGCGCTCTGAGCTTGAAAACCTTCTTACCATGTCACTGCCGTGTGTTTGCTGGGTCAACGGTGAAAAACCTGTTTGTCAAGCTTTGTTCAAACAGGACATGAGCAAGAATTAGGTCCCCTCGTAGGCGATGATACTCCAGGAGAAGGAGATCAAGCATCGCGAGACAAATTTTGTAGTCCACGAATTTGAGGCCGGCAACCATTCTCGTGGCGGCTCGCTGGACACGCTCAATGAGGGTGCCATCTTTCCTGCGTCCTGAGTAAACAAGCTGGTTGGCGTATTCCAGCGGCGGTCTGACGTAGGCCCCGTAGAGTATTTAGAAGTCCATGCGAGTAATACGGGAACAGGTGCGTCGGATCATGCGTGAAATGGTGAATGCCTTTCGGGCCGATTTCACACGGTGCAGTGAGAAAGATAAGTTTGGGGAGACCCAGATCCCAAAAACTTTTTTGGCGTCTATCCTCATAATGTTATCGGGGCCTTTCTCGCCATGCATAACAAAGGCATTCGCTGAGTCTCCTCCGAATGACATATGGACGCACTTTTCGTCACTCAGAGGAAGGTGCCAGTCAGACGACCATTGCTTGCCAGCATCTATATCCATGTGGAGGGCAATGGCATTGGAACTCCAGGATTTCAAGTCGTCCGCAAAAAGGAGACATGTAAGCAAAATGAAGGTACGACACGCCACAAAACAATCTATCAATATTTTTCATTCAAAGTATAATGTCAGCCATCTTTGAGGCAAAGCCCTGAAACCATAACGATGGTAGGGCCCATTGCCGCACAGTGCTCTCCGCTGAAAAGCTTTGCATTTTGTTGCGCATGTGCTCAAATCGAAAACATTCAAAATCTACGTTCATATTTTGCAGGTCACCAAATTACATTACCTACTGGAGCAACCATACTTCCTGCGTAAAAGTCTAACGGAATAATATTCCAGCATCGGTGAAACTCTGATTCTGTTATGTCTAAATAGGGCCCAAAAGATTGGACTGGTGCTCGATTGCTTTAGTCCATCAGAGATACGTCGTCGCTATCTAGACTTCAGTTCCATTGTGCGAATAGTATGCACCAACGATGGCGAGCGTATGCTCAAGGATAGTCACGAATGTTACGTACCAAAGTCAGTCTAATTCTGATCAAAATATTGTTTTCATTTCGTCCCCAATGTTTACCTTGCTGATGAGGTGTGGTTTGTTTTAACCCACCGTTGTTACAACAACGAGTTCGGAGAAATTACAAATGGAGCGCCAAAGAGCGGTGCGGAAAGAACCAAGAGGCCACAGACACCAAATGCAATGCACCCCGTTCTCTGTTTTGTCCTTCTCAAGGAAGCTTGACGTTGGCCAGCCTCCTTCAACGGGAGCCTTTCTAGAGCAGAGGTTGGAACACCCCACGCAGTTTCGGAAATTTTATGAAAGAGGAGATTTCCCCCTAGCTTTAGAGCATGACAGTCGAGGGAGCAAAATCGCCTGGAAGGTGGACCTTGAAAAAATAGACTATCATTACTACCTGCCATTATTTTTTGAGGGCCTTGCAGAAACGGAGCATCCATATGCCCTTTTCGCTCTTAATGGTTAGTTAGCTTGGTCTCCTAAAATTTGTTTCAGGTGTGCATGATTTATTAAAGCGTGGAGACGGCCGTGTCTTGCCTGTGGTTCCGCAACTTATTATACCCATAAAGAAGGCTCTGGAGTTGAAGAATCACAAAGTGTGTTGCACTGTTTTAAAAGCACTTCAACATCTCATCGTATGTGAAAATATGATAGGTGAAGCCCTGGTTCCATATTATCGACAAATTTTGCCCGTATTAAATAAGTTTATAAACAAAAACAAGAACTTGGGAGACGGAATCGACTATGGGCAGCAGAGAGGGGAAAATCTCGGAGAGCTAATTCAAGAAACATTGCAATTGATGGAGAAACATGGAGGTGAAAACGCCTTTATTAACATTAAATATATGGTACCCACCTACGAATCATGTCAGTTTCAGTGACAAGCGTCTCTTTGCTTAAGAGCAGAATTATGAATATTCCTATCTGACGAATTCACTCACAGAAACTATCTCTTTTTTATTCTTTATTTCTCAGAGTGACTTTCCACCTTCAGATATGTGGAACCAGAAAATCTCGCCATCTCTAACACAAATTCACTCCCTGAATCATTTGTTCGCTGACCTTTGACGTTCAACCTTAAGATTATTTTGTTACTTTTTTGTGTACTGCATAGCCCAGCGATCGGTACCCCACGTCATGATTTTCAGATTTGTATCCTATAATACGACGATACTACTACATGAGTAAGGAGTTCTCTTATGCTGGTGCTGGAAATTTTCATATCTTAGGTAAGTCGTTGAGAATCAACTCATGTAAAAAGCAAAACAAAGTTGCATACTGTGGTTAAAATAAATCAAAGGACAAAATGAAGCACTACGTAGGAAGCGAAGTAAAATTTACGCCAAGCGCACACGTGTAGTCTCAGACGCTGGCTAGGGAAAACAAAGCGCTTAACAGGATCCTCTATTGTGGGAGAAAATGTACGTTCAAATGCGAATTGTTAATGAGCCGATACGATGCTTTCTGCAGTTAACAAAACATCCGGTCTTATTGTAATGCCGTACAAGTACCGCCAGACAGTGTAAGGTAGGGGAAATGCATGACTTTGTTGAAGAGAGCCAATCCGGTCGTATGAAGGACAATGATCGCGCTCTTATATTTCGGTGCTTATATTTCTGTGGAGTGTGAATAGCATCAGCACGCCACCTTATCGGTACCCATAATCCCCTTCAAACATTCAAAAACGTAGGACACTCTCAGAGTGGCCTACAGATTACCGGACACCTTCTTACTGCACATGCATTATGATGCTCCAAGGAAGCTCATAACCACTCGTTCTACTGTATTAAATGATATTTACTGTTGGGTATCGGTCACCGAGCTTGGCAATTGGCCTTCAAACTTTTCCTTCCCGGTTGAGACAATGCCATTGAGCAATCGCGTGGGGGCCTTCTAGTAGTTACTAGAAAGCCAAGGTCTAACGAGTCAACTAGGTCAGGAGTTATCAGACATTATGAAAAAAAATTATGGCGGGGAAGTAAAAGAGAAGTGGACATATAACGACGCACTGATAACATCCGCTTGATTGTCGACGAAAGGTTTGCAAGTTGATTGACAAACTCGGCCAAAAGATCAAAGGCCACCTGATGGATAACCTGTGAACCTATCTGGACCACCAATTCATTGAAAAAATTTTAATTTCCATTTATACGGATTCGTTTGAGCTTTCATATTTCACACACGTCAGGATATTTGCAGTACATCCATTCGAACTGCACAAACTTCGTTAAGATATAGTTGACATAAGGGACAATTGGCGAGCCTATCTCCAGATGCCCTAGATACCCTCGTGATCCCAACAGCATTTAGTTAGCAGCCTGAGCGAAGAATAGACATGCCGTCCAACTTGAAAAATACCCTTCAAAGTCGTCAGGTAACATATGTTCTGTATGCCAGTTGGAGCGAAGACTCCACTCAACTGGTAAACAGTTCAAACAGCTGGTAAACGGTATTATGACAATGAGCATGCTCCTATCTGCTACCTTATAGTGAAGAAACAATGCAGTAGAAACTACATAACCTGCAAACCGAAAACTTGGATGCCAACAAACGCTACGTGACCCTCCCGAGACGTACCGATTGGGCCCTTGTCTTCAACGAAAAGCAAAAGTACCAGTCATGCCTGTGGTTCGGTAACCTCAAATAAGTGTGCATCAAAAATTTTGTCCCTTTCGTGCATTGCCAAACTGCGTCTAGTAACGGGTCGCTGCACTCTATGATATCCCTGCCATCTGTTTACACGGAGGTATCCGACAAAAGAAATCATTCCCGACGGGTGAAACTCGTAGTCAAAATAAACATCTAGGAATATCTGCGAAGAATCACACCGGTAAGCACTAACTTGGCATGCGTAACACGGCCAAGTCGTCCCTGTTGGCAACACTGGATGCTTTCTTTGAGTAAAGCACTCTGCGTTTAACCAGGAACCCGGCTCCTGATCACTTCACTGCGAATTCGCTTTTCCCAAGTGATTCCATCTACACACCCCGGACATAGATGGCCAGATACCTTGATATTTCTGACCTCCTCCGCCCGAAGTGACCAAGTCCCGCAGCCATACAACACAACGGCAAGAGCTGTCGTCTGATACATTTAGCGGTATACCGTTTTGACGTCCCAACTGGTGCGACGTGGCTAACGAAATTCTGGCCTTTGAGATCCTTGCGTTGACTTCAGCGTTTACAATACCGTCAAAGCTAATGCAACTTCCAAAATACAAATAGCATTAACTCTTTGAATTCATAGAGGCATGTTCAAAGACTACGTCCCACTACATGAATGCAATGTGCGTGCATGCCGAAGAACTGCATGACCCCGATCAGCTTTCTCAGTAATGCTGGCACCTGCATGTTTTCGAGAGTGAGAGTAATGCCATCTGCACATTCCAGGTCGATAAGCTTCTCGCTCGGTGAGATCTGAACACCGGGGTTATCATCGCATCAATGACGAAGTTAAACAAAAAATCAGACACCGCTGCTTGTAGGGGAACTTTCGGAGTGACCGTCGTACTCTCACGACCCAAATGTGAACACAAGTAGCGCATATTTGAGAACTTCTGGGGTATACCCCGTTGCATAGGCGTGTTGAAATAAACTGACTAGTCGACAGAATCGAACACCCTGCTGGGCTCGTGGAACACTAGGACTGTAGTGTGCCTATACGGATGTAGTTGCTCTACTACTTGACGCAGTGTGAAGATGTGGTCCACACATCCTCTTCCAGGCCGTAATCCTCCGTGCTATTCTAGGGTCACGTCTTCGCCTTCGTAAGATGAGGTAACTAAGCAACGCGAAAAGTCTGATTACGATGTTGGTGAAACTGTCCCTGTGATCGCCACACTCACCTTGAGCACGTTCTTCGCAAACGGGCATCACCATCGACCCAACCCAGTTAGTCGGAACGGTCTCTTCGTCGCAGACAGAGTCAAATGGGTTAGACGACAAGCATCGATTGAGGATATAACTCCCGTCTTCAAATAGAGCGGGTGGGAGTCCATCAGTACCAGCATTTAGGTGACACCTGAGGGACAAAAGCCATTCGTTTATTTCCGAAGCCGTCGGCGGTTCCAATTTTTATGTCCAGGGCTGCACTGCGAATGGGAAATCCGACTGAGTAACTGTTGGCAACCAGTTGAGTTTGTGCCGAAATTGTTCCACGAATCGAAACAGGCGCTCTTTTTTTGGGAATGAGCGAGTCGTTGCTATCAAAAATTGCTTCGCTCAGCGGAAGCCTCGTGGAGCCTTTGAGGTGGAGTAGTTTGCGCACATACTCCGAATTTTTCGGCCTACAGAAGGCGATTACATGAATATCAAGTGTGAGCCCCAAGACCTTTGTGACGACATAGATTTACGACACCGGAAGCTGGGCAATGAAGAGCATCTACGCTACTCGAAGGTTCCATACATGCAAACAAACACGTCGGGACGTGTGGCTTTACTCCCGTCGTACTCTGGCATGTGCCCGGTCGATAGATAAGAATGCAGCAACTCAGTGAAAATTTCTTCGCGAATATGTTGCAATATAAAATTATATACACCGGGGGAGTGGAAATTTCCAAAGCCTGAGGCTGAAGCTCAGTGAGAAAACCGAGTAGATCTTCTAGTTCGTGGAAAATACCATGAGATGAGGAAATCAATGCCTAAGGCCAAACAAGGAACAAGAAAACAGGCGACACAGCAGGAGCAATGCGACAAAACAGTCGTAACTTGACGGGTGTGAAGCAGCATTCAGGACTGTGTTATTTCTTCAGAGTAAAGGAGAGCTTAGGACGTGTGCGCTTCTTGTTTAGAATGATCTCTTGTTCCCGCTTTATGCGTTTTTGTTCTTCCAACTCCATTTTTTGCCTTTCTTCCAACTCACGAAGTTCCGCTTCATATCGTTTCTGGCGTTCCTCTTCCTGTTAGGAAAAAGCAGTGGAAACATCGGGTGAGTAATAATGAGATATGTCAGACGGCTTTCAAAAAACCCTATCTGCTTATGGATCATCTGGTCACATTCCACTGCTCACGCTGTGCGTTTAATATACCTGGGACTGCTTGCATTGCAGGATTTTTTCATCTGGCTACGCGCCTGGCGATTTAGGGGCGGTCAGTCCATGATCTGGCAACGAAGGATAAAAGCCCTTACCAGTCACATCAATCTTCCCCAGATGGATATCCTGGGCAACCCTAAAAAACACGCCCTTTCGGTTCATGCTTTATCATACAAAACTTATTCGGTCATTGCACCCAAAGCGCGAGTATCACCTCCTTAATCTCCATATTATCGGTGAACGGAAATGTGGTAGCTGCAGCCGCCGTACCCTTGTGATAGGTCGACAAGCTGGACCAAACTGGCGAAAAACACTGATATGGTACGACCGAAACCATTTGAATGAACACGTGTCAAGTTAAGCCAATCGAATAGTTAACAACATAGTTGACACCAACGGAAAATAACTAGCCTCTTTTCGTCGCTTCTCTTCGCGTTCCTGTTCTCGTTCGCGTTGAAGGCGTTCGTTCATTTCCTTGGCCCGTCGTTCCTCCTCCTTTTACGAAAATAAAAAACGGTTTTAGTAGCGGAAAATGAGTAATACGATCGCTCACATAATTCAATTTATGTCACAAAGTAGAATGGTCGGTGACGTGGACACATTTCCTTCCACCTCAATACGATTGGGATCTCAAGCGATCCATTAACTGGTCAGCACGAAAAGCAACATTAAAAGACACCTTAGCACAAGTAATTGGTTCACAATGCGCGGACCCTATTAAGTGAAAACATGGTCCGTGAGAACGAAAGGTCTAAGATGTCCTCAGTTCTGTGAGGGTCTGCAACCAGTGTAAAATAGCGTAGGCGGATTCACTATCATGGTTCAAAAATATGTTTAGTTGAGCAGCAGGTAGCTTGGCTGAGGACAATACCTGACATCAGAGGGGTGCTGGCTCGGTCACATTATGCACATCAAATCACTGTTTACCACGAGAAGTGATGTTTTCCATATCACCTAGAGAATGGTGCAAACTTTGAACAACACATTGTGTGAATTCGGTTATTACAGAAAGCGTAGGTGTTTAGGATGCAATCTGCTTTCCAAAATCTTATTCCCGGGGGCTTCCTTGAAACTGGCTGCGGTGATAGCTAACGTATGTCAGGCGTCTTTATGTCGTCAATTTCTACTCAAACCAACTGAGTGTTTGGGAACTTTGGCATCTAAGGACGCTACAGGTAGGTTAGCACTACGCTCCAGCCCTTCTGCTTTTCATTTAAGGGCTTTTTAGAAATAGAATGTCTGGCTGTACAGCAGTGAAGCAACAGTGTGGAGGTACTTCCAATGGTTAGAGCGCGAATTTACCGACCGGAAGGTCCGTGGTCCGAACCCGACCTCTGCCTCTCGACTTCCCCTGTCTAGGCTTGGGTAACCTGGCAGTATCCCAGCTCTCGTGCAACCTTCGGGTGGCAAAGCAGCTAGGCTGAACGATTTTTCGATTCGACTTCCAACACATCCTTGCAAACCTGCTCAGCGGTGGGCTTTCGATACATAGCTGCCAGGCAAAATGAAGTGTTAAAATGGAGATACTATCAAATATAGACGTAATACACTACTCATAAGGCTGTTCAAAACATCATAGACTACAGATTCAGCTGGGTTCCAGGTGAGTCTCTACAAAACCAAATTTGTTTGCTAATTCCGTGCAATCTGGTTCCAAGTGGAACATAAGATTGACGGAAACTCGAGTACTGCGCCTACCTGATGAGCTCCAGAAGAGTGAAACCGGTCGTGGGCTGTCGACGAGTTTTCAACAGTACGCATGTATCGCGATATCTCGAATATCGCACCAAATGAAACATGAGGCGACCTGGTGCAGCACATTCAGTTGCTTAGAAACATCACAAACAATAAATTCAGCTGGGTTCCTAGTGAGTCTCGTGCAAAAACAAATTGGTTTGCAAATGAGTGCATTTCGCTGAGATAATACCCAGTTGCCCAATCCGAAAGACGGGCAACCGAAAAGCAAGGGTTGGGTACGTCTCGTGCAAAATTGGTTTGCAAATGAGTGCATTTCGCTGAGATAATACCCAGTTGCCCAATCCGAAAGACGGGCAACCGAAAAGCAAGGGTTGGGTACGAGTTTGTGATTGTCGACCTCGGAATGTCAGTGAATACGCCGATTTGTTTATATTTTTTGACGAGGGAGAAAAAAGCTCCCAACGTATTTATCCCAATTTTGTCTAAGATAAACGACTACGAAAATATCAGCTGGTGGGTGCTCCTCTAAATGAATACACCTAATTACAATAAACCCACTATCAAGTAGATGTATACCAAGAAAACTGAAACCCGAAAGAAATACTTGTGAAACTTGCACTTTTAATACCTGGTTCGAGCAGACGATTTAATATTTAAAATTCGAACGAGAGGACACAACAATCCCGAAGGAGTCAAAGGAACTGATGAACAACACTATCGCCAGATCTCATGCAGCTTTAGATATATTAGCATGCCGGGCGAGTTCAAATAGACAACTATGGCTGGAGAGCATGGTCATGTAAGAAACCGCACTTTTAGATCTAGAAAGACAAACATGAACGAGTGAGAATAGATGTATGCATAAAAATGACCGCGGTATAACCAATCCACCAAAGGACCGAACAGTAGTAACGTCCACAAGCTCATTACACGAGGATAAGACAATTTCAGAGGAGAACACATTACTTCTCGGCGTTTTGTGGCTTCTGCTTCTTCACGCGCCCGCCGTTCAGCTTCTGCCGCACGTGCCTGCAGGACTTGAGCTCGTTCCGCTTCAACGCGCCTTTCAACTTCATTAGTGAATTCATCTTTTCGTTCGACGAGAAGCTTGGCCAGTTCACTATCTAGATATCGTTCCAACCGCCTAGCTACTTCTTCCTCGAGGAGCTTTGACTCAGCCCAGCGCTGACGCCTATAAGTTGGGGGAGAATTATAATAGGAAAATAAAAGGACAAGCGGAGCACTGACACAACAAATTCAGAAAAATAACGATGCAATTTCGTCTTATACACCACTCTACTGAGTTTCTATGGATGTAATCCCCCATGAAGGAGAGTTTTCGACAAATAGCCCTACATATAATTCGGTTCACATCGTCTTCCTCTCCGAAACACAGACCTCTTGGCTGCTCGGAACAAGAACCAAGCAGCGGAGATCGTAACAGAAAATCACTTGTTACTTTCAGCGGCGGAACAACAAAGGCTGGAAGGAGAGGGCGCGAGCCATGTTAGTCATTCGTCTTCCTTCATGGAGGCGAATCTCATTAAATGCTTTACGTTTCATGCAATGCCTCGAGACATCTCCGGAATTCGTATGCGGAAAACAAGGTTTAGAAATAGTTAGATCTTTCAGGCTGAGACAGGAGCAAACTAGGACTGAGGGATGGGCAGACCAATGACCTCACGGTCACGCTACTATATCAGGTGCTTTATGTAAATACATGTGAAAAACGCTGCAATGAGTCGCGTTCAATGAAAATCGCCCTGGTGCTCATTATGGTCATCAAAGAAATTACAACGTAGCAAAGACGGCTGCTTTGACGATATCCACGAATCGAGTAACGTAAAATTTGCGAAAACATCTGTCCGTAGGCTGCCCTATCTTTAGGCGCTACGAAGCTAAGCTGATATTTCCCTGTCTTGTGAAGCACTACTATTGGATGAGGTTCACACAGGGCGTTAGATGAAGCTCACTGACGACGCCTTACTGCGATATGGTGCTCAGATGTGTTAATCTGTTTTTGTTCCAAGAAGTATGCAGCTCGTTCGCAATAGCTTCCTCCATGGACACAGGGCTGTCTCACTAACTTAACCTTCCTCTCCTTCAACTCCACTAGGGCATCCTTTGCTCACGGTTGTGTGCCAGTACTTAATATTGGTGTACAGCTGTAAAGGATATATGGCATCCTAGAAAAGGATGAAGAACTGGGTTCTGTCCGAGGACGATGGATGACCCCTCAAAATCGGCCTCACAAAGACGAATGGAGCGGCGAAAAATCATAAAATGGGGACAGAAATGAAATGTGCACCAACAGTAGAAAAGGCAAGCCACGTCTATTGGATGTGCAACCGACGTTAATCGGTGACGGGCCACCAATGGGGAGTAATGTTTTCTTCCGCACTGTATCCGATAGGCCCAGATAGGTTGGAGAGCGTCACTCCACAAACGTTATTAATTCCAGCATTAGGTAAAGTTGGACTTGGAAAAGCAAAACGTACTGAAGGTAAAAAAGGGACTGAAATTTTATTAGTTCGGTTATCTCCCTACACAACACTGATCACACCCGAATTGAGGTTGACCTTTGGAGCGATAGGATCTTAGGATGGTAAGTTGGTTACCACCCTTTGTGAAATAATAACCAATGCAAAGTGGTGTCCTCTTTAAATGCATGGTTAAAACAGAAAGAGAAAGTACACAACCTGGAGACTTGCGCGCACTGTCACCCAAACACTTAAAGAGTGAGACGCCTTTGAATAATGGCAGTAAATGTCCGTGGGTGAAACTATCAACATTACCGCGAAAACATGTAACTTCACTTCTGAAAAGCATGAGTAAATGATCTAGGCCGATTAGTTTAAAGACCACTTGAGCCGACTTGCTTGGGAATTGGAGGGATATAGGACTTATTAGTACTGCGGGAAAGTGGCGAGGGGACAATGACAACACCTGTTATAGGATAAGGCGGACATCCCCAAAAGTATAATAGCTTAACCCAAGCGGCTGGATGCTCTCATAGGCAAAAGGACCGTGGAGCCTGAATTTTTGGAAAATAGAGTTCATCGAGAAAACAGTGATTAGAACTGGGACAAGCTATAGTGGGCTGGAAAAAGTTGACGATAACACCTTAGCTAAGGTCGAATACATCCCCAACACTAGAGTCTTGTCCTTAATTGGTTTACCATTCCCATCACTCGTCTGAGGGGTTCACTTTCAATCCCAAAACGACTGCTCTGGTCAGTTCACATCAGAGCGAGTAAGCCCGAGTTTCACCTCAATTCGAACCATGTGACAGGTGCACCTAGTTAGCGCCGGTAAAGTGGTGCAGCACACTTGTTTCGCGTTCGCCGCCAGGCAGTGACATCATCTAGGTCGCCTTTGTTGTTGCGGGGCGGAGAGGTAAAGACATCTCCCTCTTCCTTCCGCCCCTTAACACCTCTGGCCAATTTGATGACTGCCCTTCTATAGACCCAAGAGTCTGCACCTAAATTTTAAAAAAAACGAGAAGCCTGACCAAATTTTCATTACACGTTGATAGATTTTAAAACCTCGATTCATTCCTTGTGTTCGAGTTACCAGTTCTCCACACACAATTCCACGGTCCGAGTGAACGTCATGACTATCCTTTGGGTTCACATTGTCATTTCGTATTAACCATGGTTCCGCTTTTACTCTCAGCTTATTCTTAGACAAGTAACGCGCTATTCATTCTACGCCATGATGCCTTGTTCTTCCGCTCAACCAGGATCTGGACTCTATCCGAAACAAAGTTGTCCCAGCCAATCCGAAAAACAGGACCAAGAACTTCCGAAAGCAATGAAATCAAACTATTTTCTAATATATGATGGGGTTAAGCACGAGGAGTATTTCTACCATATGCCATATGCCTCATCCGTGAGTTGTGTGAGTTTAGGCATCCATACATTTGCGTTTTGAAGCAACATCGGTCGACTAGAAGCAACAAGCTTCCATCAGCGTCGTCCAAACATGGAGGAGAATCTTTGAACTTGAATCCTGAACTTGGTAGTTCATGTCTACTTTGGAACACGAACGTGTTCCAGGGAGTTGAGCAACCACTGGTCGTACCCGTGTTGAAAAAGGTATCCGGGTGGGTCGTTTGAAACATAGAAGTATAAGCTCCACAACCGTCACAACACGGCTTTCCTTATAATGCGACACCCGTCCTCGGGTATCTTCGAGACGCAGGTCCGGGATCACCTAGCAGGATTCCGACCTGGAAAAGGATGCAACGTTCGAATCTTTACTTAATGCCTAGCACTCGGGCAGCGCACCTAATACCATCAATAACCCAGCCAACACTCGCGCCTTTTCTCTACTTAAAAGGAGCCTTTGACTCTGTTGATAGCCAGAGGGCACCTTCGGCGTTCTTCCTGCCCTTATTCCAATACCTCCGGTCGCGTTAGGGTGTACAAAGAACTGTCCGGAAGCGTCCTGACAACGGGTTGGGTTCCTCAGGGATATTCCCTTTCTCCTATTGATTCAATTTTGTCGTCAATAGTATATATTGCAGCGTACATTCCAATGGCACATGAATCTAGTTATTGGAATCATGTCTCAAGAGAAATTAATCGGCTGGGATTATAAGGTCGATAGCTTTATTGTTTGGCGATTATTTGTCCGCGCAAAATACTTCAATCAATTTGAACCGGCAATATTCCAGATAATCGAACTCACGAGATCAGTTCAGCTTCAAAGTCCTTACGTCAGAATGAATATTTCCCATGAGCGGGTCCTGATATTTGAGGCACTTTGTCACGTCTTCCTTCGCCACCACTCTACTTCACTAATCCAGCTACCCTGTTTGTCGGAGAAGTTAGATTATTCACTCAGTCTTCTACTGGAATTTAGACGACGCTCAAGGGTTTTCTGATGAGCTTGCTCGAGTGATGGTTCTGAGAAGTAACTGTGCAGCGTTCTGTTTTGCAAGTAGGCAGTACAAGAAAGCATACAGAGAAACACAGAAACAAAGGATGTAGGGTTCTGAACAAAAAGCCGCTTGGGAGGCAGGCCCTCCCCCCAAGTCCAGGCAGCTTAGCGTAAATTGCACCTTGATACCACCTCCAACTACCCTCCAAAGCAACACTATGAGTACAAAATCACGTTAACGGCCTCCAAGGTGTGGTTGGACGCTACAGAAGGGCTGCATCGCCCAAATAGTTTTGCGACACTTGGAATGCGTAAGCCTAGCTTCGTCGTAGCTCTTATACAGGGCATTGGTTCCACAGAAGGGGTTTGTCAGATCGTTGAAACAACCAAAAGGGAGAGCTAGTGAATCCATCAACAGAAGCATAGTAAAAAATATTCGAGTCATCCATCACCCTCGAATCATCTTACCAGAGTAGCAGAAAGAATACACAAGTGCTTCAAACAAAACGAATAGTGGCTATTGTGATGGAAACGTTGGCCAATAAGGATTCAACAACCTCATCCAGGAGACCATGTACTACTCGGTAGAGCCCCACCCTCTGCTGATGCGCGGAAACAGTTTTGGAAGCCGGAAATTCGCCGAACGCACTTTAAAGTACCAGAAAAATTAACTCCGGAGATTCGCGGAAAAGCAGTTTCCTTACGGAAAGTCACAACAGTTTTCTAACCGAGCAAACTGAGTATTCGCCCACACATTGCACCGTCTGTCACGGTAGCGAATAACAGGATTAGCATACTGGGACACATCATCGGGCTCTGACAACGAAAGTAGCTCGGGGTAGGTCCTGAGTTAAGATGCGAAGATACAGACCACCACGTCCGTGATTCAAACTCACACAAGGAAATTCCAAAACGTTTGACACCAACGCCTGCTACTTATTCACAGACCACACTGATTTAACTGGAAGTGTGCATGTGAAGTATTTTCGCATAAAATGAGGACGCAGCGAAACCGGAATAAATATTCCACCACTCGAGGAACTCCGGCTACTGAAGTACAGATAACCGCCAGTGTGTTCAGAATGAACACCTGGGGTGAACATGTACCCATGGACATTGTTTGGCTAGAGAGTCCTACAGAAAGTATACAGGGAAATGCTTACAGAAGCCTGTCTTCTTCTGCCCGCTGCTCTTCCCGCCGCCGCAATTCTTCAGTCTTGTTGGCACGCTTGCTGGCCTCGGTTAATGATGCCGAGCTGGTTGAGCTGGCTCGACTTCCACCGCTGCTGTCCCGTCTATGTCTGAAACAGATGCAGCAACAAGCTTACGACTAGGTAATTCGATTTGTACTAATTAAACATGCACCGTACTTATCGACTTTATCCAGGGTTTGCGCGCGGCCGTTCCTTAAATGAAAAGGTACGTTATTCGAAGTGGTCATCAAAATCTCAATAAAACTGAACAAGATTATTCCCAACCTTTTCCTTGAACGGTCGGACTTCGATTTAGAATGAGGGCCAGGTGAACCAGAAGGTTTCCCGCGAGCCATCATTCTCAAGGTCGAAGCCCTGTCGTAGTTCAACTTCTGGTTTCAGGGGCTGCGACATGATATTTGTGCCCCGCTTTTTGGGGTTATCCTGCTTTGGGATCTCCGTGCAGGTATCTGATAACATAGTTGGTTCAAAATGTGGCGGGATGAGTACTGCGTGCGAAGATTCAAGCACTGGTTCCCATGGAGCTTTGTTCATAATTATAGGCTTGTCTGGAAAAATGGGGGACATTTTCCGCTGCCGACGCATGGATGTGTAGAATTGCCTTGGTAGGCAAATGGCCCGTCGAACATGGTCAAGGAATACTATATTCCTATAAGTAGTGGCAGAAGACCCAAGATGTCCTTGTGGACGTGGACAAATATCGGAATTCGGAAGATTAGGACAGTTATTCCCGCAGCAAAAATCCCTTAAACAGAAAAACACCTGAATTACTTGGTCATCACCGTGGAGCATGGCATCAAGCTTCTGGATTTTATGGCGTATCAACCTGACTTCCCTCTTGTTCCATCAAGCGTTCTTCAATATGCGGGCAGCATTTTATATTATTTTAACCGTTTTCGCCGATAATGCGATGTCGCGTGTCTTTATTTTGCTTCCATTATAATACTACGTACTTCGTTATTTGCATAAACGTTTCTTTATTTAAATACGAAAAACTGTAAAACCACGCTTTTGCACAACTACACGCGATAAAAAAATGGTCACTTACTTTGTCTTACTCTTCCGANCCACAGCGATGTGTGTTTCATGTGGTAACTCTGGTAGCAAAACATTTGAGACTACCTTCGGAATTAATTACATGCGAGAATCGTCTAGAATGGGACCCCTGTACAAATGTGATTAGATTACTATTTATCCACTGTCCTGAGCCAGCGAACAAGTGTTAGTGATTCTGTTCCGTTGCACCCCTTTATTATTGTGTACTCAATCTAGCGTTATTATCTTCATTTCTTTGCTACATGCCCCTGGTAAATTAGCGTTTTGGGTAGCCAGGCCACCACACCTTTGGTGAGTTTGAGTCTTTATAGATTTTTCCTATCTTGCCTCTTCAAATCGTCGTAGTTTTTTAGCCCGGTCATCGTGGATGCACAATCTGATTCATCGGGTTTGGTCGAGAATGCGATTAGAATCCGTTCACTAGACTATAATTCCCACAATTCCAGGACGTGATCTCAGCAAGTCGGGATTTTCTCACCAAACGACGTATCACTTTTCAAGTCATCCGCTTTTACTAAATGGTCCAGTATCTCCCCAGTGATGTGACAACAGAAGTAGAAATTCTGATGGAAGATATCCTCAAGGGAAATCACTATGACGCCCTTCGAGCGGCCGTCATCAGTAATATAAGGAAGTCCGAAAACAAGATGCTACGGGACTCATTCACCACCGTCTAGCTTCGTGACAGATTGTCGTCACAAGTGCTGCGCCACATGCGCAGTCTCCTCCGCGGCCGCAAGCTAGCGGTGGAAATCGTGGCACGATAAACTTCCACCCTCCATGTCCCACGTCATCAGTGCTTTCTTTGATGACCATAGCCTGGAGCAGTTGGCTCAAATGGCGAAAAATCCACGGGATCTACCCCAGTCACTCAGTTTGCTCCGTCTCACACTGTACAGCCACCAAATCTACGGATTCCGATCCAATACTTTCTGCCATCTCACAACTACAAACTAGATTTGATAGCTTGGTCGATTGCCCCCAACTACTGGAGATCAACAAGCATCGACCACGTTCACGATCTATATCGCTGTCTCGTACGCGTCCCTCTTGGTGCTGGTATCACCAATATTTCGGTCGTAGAGCACGCAACCCTTACTCATTCATGCCAGTACGCTCAACCTGACATGCATTCCATCGTTCACCATATCTAGACGAGAGGTCCACTTGTCCATACCAATCTCCGATGACTCCATCCAGCTAAGCTCCAGATCGCGAAGACGAATGTGAATGCAGGTTCGAACTCGGCATCGTCCGCACTTCATCGAGTCACTGGTCGTGACTCCTACATGTGGTCCTCAAGAAATACAAAGGTGATTGGAGACATTGTGGGGATTACCGTTGTCTCAGTAATGTCAACATCCCAGACAGGTATCCACGATTTCGCAGGTACCCCATGCCGCGGGCATGTTTTCTCCAACTTCCACCTAGTACGTGCATATTACTGCATACCCGTAGCCCCGGATGGCATTCGTTTACTAGCCACCACAACGCCGTTTGTGCTTTTCGAAATCACGTGTCTTCGAAATGCAGTCCAAGCATTTTAACGTTTCATGGACGAAGTTTTTCGTGATTCACCCCTTGTCTATGCTTATCTAGGTGGCATTTAATTGCTAGCATCTCTAGACCTGAGCATGCTTATCATTTCATGGCAGTATTTTAGCTCCTTTCTACACAAAACATACGTTTGAGCACTTGCAAATACTTGTTTACTGCTACCAACCTAGAGATTTTGGTCACCACATTGACCCAACCGGTATTTCATTATCCGATCGCACTTCGGCCTTAGAATCTTTTCCTCACCCATCACTATCCCCAAATTCGTCCTTTTATTCGAATCATCAACTACTATTGGTGGTTCATCCTTCATTTTGCAGATGTTCTACAGCCACTGACTAATCTACTTGACTCCGAAGAAAATTTTGTTACCTTGTCCTGCATCGCCATTACGCTTTCTTTTCTTTACATCCACGAAAACACAAAGCTTATTTTGACAACTGTTGCTCCAAACTCTGCTGTCGGTACTGCACTGCATCAAGTTGTTATTACTATAAGTCAGTCATTAACCCTTTTCTCGCAAAAAATGCAAGCTGCTCAAACGAGTTGGCGCACTTTTCGTCGCGAATTGCTCATATTTTGCCTTGCTATAAACCATTCCTGCGCCTTCTACTTACTCACGTAATTATCACTTGCCACTCAAAGCTTTTAAATTATTGAGAAGTATAGTACACGTTGTTTGCTTCTATGTTTATAGATACAGTCTCGTGGCCTCAAACGAGCACACGTTCAGCGAATAATAGTGTTTTGAAAGCCTTATTTCACGTAATTTCCATGGTGATTTCGGAGTAGTTCATGAACTTATGTGCCATGGTTTCGAGATGACTAGTGTACTACACTACTCTCTTTTGCCTTTTAATTCTGCAGCAAAAATAGGGGGCCCATAAGCGAGAAATTAACAAATATATAGCCACAACGGTAGGCTGAAAACAGCGAAATCTCTGGTTTTCTGTTGGCTGCAAACATGCTAACGAACAAAACAGGGCTTACTGCTCCCTTGTGCATGCTCAGACGAATATCAGAGCCAATTTATTGCTCAGAAGAAGTTGGTGTAGAGGTATAGTGTTATACTTTCTCCAGGTCTTCTCCGCCAATTCTGAGGATTCGGCTGATCTAAACAACCACACCTCAGAGGTCTCCAGTGTCAGTATCTGATGTTGGCAATAGTTTTCATGCCACTAATTGGCTGTCTTATAAAGATCACCCTTTGTGTTGTAAACGTTGAGCAGTGTGATTGAATATGCCTCCCTGTAGTCACCAACACTTTCGTCGTGAACTCCTGCAGTATTTGGCACGTAGGAAGCAGCCGTCCACAATCGATTTCCGGTTAACGCGGTGGGCCTGAAATTACCAGAAGCATCTGATCGGTTAATCACGACACTACTTAATAAGCTCTCCGTCGTTCAGGTTACCAGCATTTCGTTCTCTGACCAGCCAAAGGGCAACGGGGCTGATTAGTCATACATTTTCAAGCTCCATGATTGCAAAAAAACGAAATTACCGGAACACTTGTGCCTTACGTCCCAGAATCCGGAGCTGGCCTGTGTCAAAAATCCTTCAATAAAATCCAAGTCATCCTTTGGGCATGTAGGTCGGAATCTAGAGTCAAATTCTCAGAGTTGGATCCCAAATCATTTTTGGCCTGGACAACAATAAAGCATTGTTCTTCCCTGCGGCCTTCTAATTAGCATTTCTCCTGCACATGTTTTTCAGCTGATTCTTCCAGATTCGCTTATGTGCTACTTACCTTACTGGCGCTTTGTATCTAACTCATTGTATAGTTAATAACATGGCAGCTCTGATTTGGAGCTTGAAGAATCTCTAAATCTTAACTCACTAGTGACGCCGTGGAACCGAGTTAGTAAGTAAACGGGTTCACGTTGACGAAAAGTATGTCGGAGCATCAGATCGAATTTCCAAGCTACGCATGCTTGACTCTCGTCTCTGGAAGATCAGCTACCACCACAGTTGAACGTTGAGGTGTCCATGGCAGGAAAGGGGATGGTTTATTTGCATGGATTCTCACTTCGTTTCAATGTTCTGAAGTATTGGATAAGGCATGGTGGTACTCGAAATAAATTTATTGAGAGAAAACTAGGATTCAACACGCAAGCTCATAATTAATGCCCCGATGCAAATAATTGTTGTTTGCTTCAAACGGACTGGATGCCACCCAGTTTCCTTCCCGGTACAGTTCGTATTTGAGAAAGTTACTTCCAATCAGCATATTGTTTGAGACCATGACAGCACTTCGCCTAACTGCCATATCAAGATAGCCTCAAATTACAAGTGATGGGCTTTATAACCATGATAACAGTCATTCGGAAATTGGTGGAAATAGTCGTTTTAACATGATCCGAATGTAAGGATTATAATATTTCCAAGTGTATTCAGACTCCGTCGCGCCGCTTAAGTCCGCTGTGTATTTTGACGACATATTTGAACCGCGAGAATTTCACCAGATCAATTCACCGCAGACTAGAGGCACACCCAAATTATACTCGCCGAAATTATAGGGTTTTCGAAGTAGCATTTTGTTTAGGCGAGCGAAATCTTAAGGTCACCGATAATCACAGATCCTCGTTTTGTTGCCGGTTTACGGTAACGAAGTCACACTTTAGCATATTTTGACGTCATCTGGTGTTCATTAAGAACTGAAACATCTAAATAATATCTAATGCGAATCCCACCCTGGAAGATCGGTCACTGAATTTGTTTG